ACCTCTGATAACAGGTCATAAGGATGTTTTTTGAACAGTCTAACAAGTTTAATGGAAAAATGAAAAAAAAAAAAAACTCAATGATTAAATGTATGCAAATTAAAAAAATATATATGTTACACTTTAAAATCGTTATCCCTTATATTTATAGTTCAATTCATTATGCATTATGTTGAGCACCCTTAAAATTCTTTGACTTTAGTTTATGCACTATTATATACGTTTCGATTCACGTAAAAATAGGTGTAATTAGTATTTATGTTTTAATTTTATTTAATTCCATTTGTTTTGGAAGATTTGAATATTTTACTTTATTATTTTTTAACATGTCTATAAAATATATTTTATTAATTTTAGGGTTACTTTTAATTTTAATTATATGAATCGCCCCATTATTTCATAAGATAATTTTTTTCTCTTCAAAATCTTGACTTTTAATGTTACCATCTAATCTATTAAAAAGGTAAATAGCACAAAATATATTAAGTTTATCTTAAAATTTTAATTTGACACTGTGTTTTTTTTTGTCTCAAATTTGACAACTGTGTTTTTCAATTTTTTACAATTCTGACCACTTGACTGGTCAACCCGGTTACCTGCTGACGTGGCATGATGACGTGTCAGTTTTTGATGACGTGGCATGCTGACGTGTTAAAATTGAATTTTTTTTCCCACAAAAGACACTAAATTTTAACTTTTTTCGATTTTGACACTAAGTTTATTTTTTTCTTTCAATTTTGACACTCTGTTTTTTTGTTTCAAATCGAACATCATTTTTTCCAATTTTGTTCAATGTGGATCATTTTCCATTTGAAACCGTATAAATATTTTTTAATACATTTTAAACCGTATAAATACATTTTTCATTTAAAAACCATATTTTTGTATAAATACAATGTTTTTTTACATTCAAACCATAATTTTATGTATAAATATGTATTAGTTATATAAAAACCGTATTTTATATTAAGTACGCAACTTTAAAATAAGTTTGGAGGTTTGGAGACGTATAGTCGATCAAGGCCCAGATGTCAGGTTTGCAACCTATGAAATTTTTACATTTTATTTGAAACTTATGGTTAGTTTGGTTCTCATGATATAACTAATGCATATTTATGCATAACATTATGCTTTGAATGTAAAAAAATAAAATGTATTTATACGATTTAAAATGTAATAAAAATATATATTTATATTTTATACGGTTTCAAATGGAAAATGGTCAACATTGAACAGAATTGAAAAAAATGATGTTCGATTTGGAACAAAAAAATTGAGTATCAAAATTAAAAAAAAAAATTAAACTTAGTGTCAAAATCGAAAAAAGTGAAAACTTAATGTCTTTTGTGGGAAAAAAATCAATTTTGACACATCAGCATGCCACGTCATCAAAATTGACATGTCATCATGTCACGTCAGCAAGTAACGGGGTTGACCGGTCAAGTGGTCAGAATTGTAAAAAATTGAAAAACACAGTGTCAAATTAGAATTTTAGTATAAACTTAGTGTTTTTTTTCTATTTACCTTATTAAAAACTCAAATAAGGTATTAGCTATGAGAAGTGAAAAACCGTTAAATTTCAAACGAGAAACTAGGGACAATAGTCCTGAATAATAATTAATAACTACCTCAAAAACTACCTTTAATGAATACTTAAAAACTAGGGACAATCATATTGAATAATAATCTACTCCTTAATTACTATATAAATCCCTCTTATTCTAAAATCATGGCCCCTAAATTGAAACCGAGGATTAAACCCGGATCACTCCCCCTTTGGGGTGATTTCCCAAGCCTTTGCACCACTAGGCCACGAAGGTGGTGGTTTAATTTTACACATTTTAAAAGTTTGCAATTAGTTTTCCAAATTTTCTCGCGAATATAAGTTACATGTTCTAGCTATCAGCAACAAACTCTGATCTATTGTTAGAAATCGGAGTCTGAAACCTGAGGTTTCGCAATCAATGAATTTAGATATCTTACATGTCGTATATGGTCACTTTTCGTATTGATGTCTGGGTTGCTAAGAAATTCATCTTGGGATCAAATTTGTCTTATATACAAGTTTGTATTTCGTACATTTAATTTGTACTAAATAGAGTCCAACGGGTCATGCATTTTAATGTCATATCTCCTAGATCTACAAATATTGTTTTCAAAAGAATTGGTTTTGCCATCCAGAAAAGGTTAGCGGCGCAGCTTGTTGCCCGTTTGCCTTCAATCGATATGTATTAAACTATTATAATTAAGTCTAAATTTTTATGGATTAAAAAATTTATAGCAAAAAAAAAAAAAAAGTATTAGATCATAGTTTAAAATCTCCATTTGGCACTCTTATTAATTCCAATTACACAAAATAACCACTATAACTAAAATCACCGTCACCTATTTTTTATTTTTGGCAAACATACTCATATTTTACTTTCTTTTCATTTGTATAGAATAGTATTTTCAAAATTTTCTTCTCGTGGCATTATAATTGAGAAAGTATACACCATTTTTTTTTCTTATCAATATATAATATTTTAGAACTAAACTTAATTATTAGAAACTATTTATAGTTCTTAGATAACATTGATATAATTAAGTATATTTTTAGGGCTAGCGGCGCAGCTTGTTGTCCGTTTGTCTTCCATCGATATGTATTAAACTATCTTTATTAACTCTATTAATTATAATATAATAAACAAATCAATAAAAACAAAAATTATTGTATTTAAACTAAAACAACGTATTTAAGTTTATATAAGAATAATAATAATATTTTTTTTTGTAACATTTAAAATAAAAGATATGGAGTATCTAAAATTATGGACTACTCAGAATTTATGAATTTTGAGAGTGGAAACCGGAAAAGGAGTAGCCAATGTTGAAGTATTATTTGGGAGGAAAATGACAAAAAAGCCCATCCCTTCAACACCAAAGTGGTCCTATTCCATTAATACAATTGATACCCAATTCTTATCCTTCACTACCCCTCTCACTTTTCCTCTGCTTATTCCACACACCCTCTTCTCTCTTTCCCTTCTCTTCACCTCTCCAAAAACCATCAACCAACAACTCTCAGGTACAACAATTAAAGCAACAGGTACAACCATGTCATCATCAAAAGCATGGAGCAAAGAAGAAGATAAGGCATTCGAGAATGCCATTGCCAACCACTGGACTCACGATTCCAAAGAACAATGGGATACAATTGCTACACTTATCCCCACCAAAACCATTCCAGAGTTGAAACAACACTATCGATTACTCGTCGAAGATGTTGATGACATTGAAGCTGGAGTGATTCCGATTCCGAAGTACCTCGGAGAGGAATCCTCTTCCTCTTCCACCAAAGAAAACAACCACCACGGGTCGACTTCCAATCGCCGGTCCTCTTGCAATTACACCAACGGGTTTTCCGGGTTCGGTCATGATTCCAATTCCGCCGGACAAAGCAGCGGAAAAGCGAATTCCAGGGCAGAACAAGAACGTCGGAAAGGAATTCCATGGACCGAAGAAGAGCATAGGTATGTCGCCACCATAACTGTCCACCTTTCTGTTATTCAATTACAATGAAGGAATCGTTTCCATTTTCAGTATCGATGAAGGATTCATTAATTCTTTATTACTTAAAAGTACGTTTCCTGATTACGAAATCATTACAGAATTTATGTATATAGACAGTACCACTTGTGGTTGATTGATTGACCATTGGAAAACGCAATTGTCAGAAAAAACCAATTATTGTTGCAATATCCTTGTACAACTCATGTTGCATAATGTACAATAAACCACAGCTTAGCCCTAGAACGTATCACAGTTGTTCCACTACAATATACTAGCACGAATAGTCGAAGTCAGACTCTCAGTTGGTTCGAATACAATATACTAGCAAGAATAATCGAGTTAGATGCTTTACATTATTATGACAACACCAATAACAGTCTATTATGTCGAGTCAGACAGTCTGTTGTATATCTGTTTTACATCTCATATTGTTATTATGACAACACCGATAACAGTCTATTATGTTGTATACATGATTTACATCTTATATTTGGGATTGGTACAAGTTCTAATGCATATGGTACAAATGTAGGTTATTTTTATTGGGATTGGACAAATTTGGGAAAGGAGATTGGAGAAGTATTTCAAGAAACTATGTGATATCAAGAACACCAACACAAGTAGCAAGTCATGCACAAAAATACTTCATAAGATTAAACTCCATGAATAGAGACAGAAGGCGAACGAGTATTCACGACATCACAAGTGTCAACAATGGTGACGTGTCATCATCGCATCAAATCCCAATCACGGGAAGCACCAACCCGTCTAGCGGCCCAACCGTCGGTGCACCCATGAAACACAGACCGCACCACCCAGTGCCGCCAGGGATGGGGATGTATGGGGCACCGATGGGCCACCCTGTCGCTGCCGCTCCCGGCCATATGCCGTCGGCAGTTGGAACTCCGGTGATGATGCCGCACAGCCACCACCACCATCCGCCGTATGTTATGCCGGTTGCGTACCCCATGGCTCCACCTCCGGCTATGCATCAATAGGATTGAAATCCGGCGAGTTTTTTTATTTTTTTCTTTTTTCTTTTTTTTTTTTTTTTGAATTTGATGGAATAACTCTTCCTAGTCATAGTGCTAGAATTTGACAAAAAAGTAGGACCACAGCAACTTTTTTCAATGATGAATTTCTCTGTTGGTTTAAAGAATTTTCACCAACTGTTTGTACATTTTTTTTTCTCTTGAAGAATAATGATGAGTTGTACGTCATGTAATGAAAGGTGTACCTCATGCTATGATGGTTGTACGTTGGGAGGGGGACAGGGGAGATATAGAAAAGCAATCTAATGGTGGTGTTTCTCTTCCAACTTTCTGAGGTCCAAAATGTGACACAGAGATGAAGTTAAGCTGTCAAACATCATTGTCTGTTGATGTCAAAAAGATAACAAAAAACATCATGATAATATCTTTTTAAAACTAAAAACTTTAGTCATAATTCCCCTCACAAAAAAACTATTTAGCCAGAAATTAAGGTAGTACAAAATGAGGGTGACTAATGGAAATTTTATAACCATAATATTTTTTTACGCCTTTTTGAGTTAAATCGAAGTTGTTGCTCTGTGAGGATGTGATGTAAAAACTTCTTTCGTCCCATTTTCCACCATACAGGCACCACAAATCGGCTTCTTTTCCTTTTTTCTACAACATGAAAATTAGAAAACCAATTGTCAAGAAATAGCAACCTACTTTCATTAAATTGTTTATTAAAAAATAAATTGTCAAGAAATATAAATTGAAAGCAGGATGAAATAAACAATGAAATGAAAACTAAGTGGCTAGAATTATATAGTATGAACATGGATTTTCAAGGGAAATACTAGAGAATTTAAAATTTTCAATTTATTGAGGTCGATATTTTAATTAGGAGCTTGAAAAGACGGACTTTGAAGTGGTCCTTTTCCTTTCCACATAACACCAAAAAGATACATCAACTCACTTTCAAGAATATCATGCTACGTTTTTTTATGTAAAAATCTTTTATTTCATATTGGTTGGTTATATAGATATTTTAATTATTTAATAGATAAGTAAAATAATGAACTCACTTATTTCTTGGAAAATATATGATCCCCATCGCGATTGCAATTCGGAAAATATGGGGCCCACATTTGGCCAAAAATTGCTCTGGATACTCAAAACTTCTAGAACAGTCTGCAGTCCAGATCTTGAAGGCACAACATTCTCCAACATGTTTTCAGGCTTTTCACCAAGCAATACCTAAAACAAAAAACAACTGTGTTGTGTTATTTATTCACTAAACCCTAAACCCTGAATGATTAATCATAGAATATAGATTAACCTTGATTACTGATGTAGCTGATGATGATATTGAGCGAAGATTGTAGCTGAAAAAAACATATATTATATATCATAAAATGAACTTTTACAAATATAATAATAATAATAATAAATTATTAAAAAAAATGTGGAAAACAGACCCGCCTTCGAGAATAACAAGCAATTTTCCATTAGATAAAGAAGACAGCATTTTGGTCATTTGTGCATAACCAGCAGGGGTAACCTGAAAGATATAAGCTCTCATGTTAGCAAGGGCATTTATGTCTTTTGCATACACACACAAGATATTAAGAAAATTGAAAGATGTATGAAAAGCTTGCTTACATCACAGCATCCAAGGGGGTCGCCTCTTGCAGCATCAAATCCAGCTGAAATGATTGTGATATCAGGGGCAAATGCGTCCGCTGAAATTAAGTGAGTTTTTAAAAGTAAGAACATGAAGATAAAAAGCAAACTAGGTGAAAAATAATAATAATAATAATAATAACCAATTGGAAGCACAATGTGTTGAAATGCAAAGATATAATCATTGTCCCCAACTCCTCCACGACTCCATGGAACATTTACACAGTACCCTTCTCCACCCATGGACCCCACCTGATAACATATGAGTAAAATGACCATTTTACCCTTCTTGATGTAAAAAATGAGAGAGAAAAAAATTAGGGTTATGTTTACCTCATGGGCAGCACCTGTACCAGGGTAGAATTTTCCACCTTCATGTCTATGTAAAGATATATACAACACCTATAATAATTAAAACCAGTATCATCAGTAATCTATGTTAAGATTGATGATGTTATTTATGAATTAAAATAAATTAATCAACTATATTGTTTTATAATTGTGTTGAGTTTCATTTTTTATAGGAGAATAATGAATGATTGTTAATTTTACATGGCTTCCTGCAATTTATTACCAGGAAATACTTATAGTGTTTTTTTTAAATATAACAAACACTTTGTGGTTAAGCAAAAAATAAATTACAGAATATGGAGTTAATCATATAATATCATTAACAGGTTGAAGAAAGTGGTATCAAATATTGCAAGAATAAAGAATTTACTGTTTTGTTCTGCTCAAATATTTCTTGAGTTCCATTTCCATGGTGTACATCCTGCAAATAAATAAGGTTAGATAAGATAATTACAAGTCATAGTTTTTTACTACAATTTAAATAAATAAATAAAATTACAAACATTATTACCCAATCAACAATCAAGACTTTTTTTGCTCCTGCAGCTTGTGCTGCTGATGCAGCAATGGCTGCATTGTTATGCAGACAGAATCCCATTGCTTGTCTCACTCCAGCATGATGACCTGGAGGACGCACCTGACCCATGACCCATGACCCACGACCCACGACCCATCAAACATAAAGATTAATGGAATAAATAGAGAGGTGAAGAATTATAGGTAGAAACTTCTTTTTACCAGTGCAAACCCGTTTTTAGCACGCCCTGAGTATATAGCTGATGCCAGGTCAGCACATAACCCTGCTGCCAGCTTGGCAGCAAGTGCTGAATCTTTGTTTGCGTATGTATCAGGAGTGAAATAACTGTTGGACAAACAATTGTTGCTAATAAATACAAGGATTAATCTCAAAAAAAGACTTTATATTTTGTGTTTTTTCCGGATTAAATCTCAAATTTATTTTTTTACCTTGTATTTTTTTCATTTTTTCTGATCTGGCACTTTTAGTCATTATTTGCCAAAAAAATTGTAAAATGTGAGGGGTTTTTTTGAGAAAAACTAAAAAAGTTGAGGGTTTGTTTGGAAGTATTTAGGAGGTTGAGGGCTTTTTCGGAAAAAAAAAAATACAAAGTCAGGGGCTTTTTCGGAAAAAACACAAAATATAAGGTCTTTTTTGAGATAAACCCTAAATATAATGGAGAAATACTAAAATGTTAAGAGGGTATATAAGTAATTGATATTTAATGTACCTAGCAACATGTTGGCTTGTGAGTTCAACAGATTCAATATTCTCATGAGAGTGGATCTGAAAACAATAGAATGGAATGGAATCAGTCATTACATTCCAGAATCATCTTTGGTTAGTGTGTAAGAATGGAATCAATTTTTTATTATATTAAGATACATTGTATAGTGTTAAGTTTTAACTCTACTTTATATGTTATTCAGTTCAAATTTATAAAAATTTAATTTGCAAAACTAAAAGATTAAACATAAAAGCTCAGTAGAATCCAAATAACTGTTTTCTAATAAAATCATAGATTAAGAAAAAAGAGTTGTCATTACAAATTACATAAATAAAAATGGGTTATATTGCAAATTTTCATTCCATTCCTTCAAAATGAGAATTTACAAAAGAGAAGGAATCACATTCCTTCAAGAATGGTGCATTCCATTCCATCAAACAAAACAAACAGCTTTTTTCATTCCAATGGAATGAGCCATTCCATTCCATTCCCTCCCTGATTCCCTCATACCAAACACTACCTTAAAGTTTAGGGTATATCACAATCAGCTTATTTTATAGCCAATACTGATGAAAGTGGAAAGTCAAGATTGCAAGTTGACTTTAAACTAATGAATGAAATGTTTACCATCTGAAGTTCTTCACGTGTAATTTCTCTTGCTGAAATCGGTTGACATCTTCCAGGAAATATACCTAAAATTTACAGAAATGACAATTTGCAGAATCAAAAAAAAAAATAATTAAAAAAAGAAAGACAAGGAATCCTAGTCACACACCTGCAGTTGCCAGGCTGGCAGCAATTGCTCGAAGACGATCTGGTCTTTCTGGATGAGGAAGAGACTTCCTTTCAACCTACAAATTATAAAAATCAAAGAATGATGAAATCAAAGTTATTTATTTATACAAGCATCAAGACTATTAAAATAATTTTTTTAAAAAATGAAAATTGAAATATCAGGAAGAATTCTTACTTCAGAGTGAAGCAACATTCTGTCATCAAACCCCACTGCTGTCGATTTATGTGGGGCCAAAGTTTTTGAGCAAGAAGCTACATTGATTGAAAAAAAAAAGATCAAGGAAATGAAAACAATTTAAATGAAAAAATCAATCTTTATAAACTTATGTGGGGCCAAAGTTGTTTTCTCTTTAGACCTTCTGATTTCCCATTTTGTTTCAGTGATGCATTCTGAATAGAATCTGCATCTTCTGAAGATGATGCAAGAAATCCATGCCTAAGGATCCCAGAATCTTTATGCTCTCCACACATCTGCATATAAAAAGTTTTGCAAATTATTCACAAGCAACCACTAGTTAAATATATAAAAAGGAAAATTATGGATGATGAAAGGAGTTGACATGACATGATCATATCTCATACATGGCAATAGAAAGCTCCATCACCGTTAACCATAGTGCAATTAACACAAAACCATTTAACAATTGTTAAATGTTTCTCTAAAGGCTCCCAGTCACTGTCATCTTCATCATCAAAATCACCTTCTTTATTATACATATCTTGAAGACTCATGTCTCCATTGAAGCCCTGTATGAGATTTTGATCATTTGGATCATGAATGTTAATCTCTGGCTCCCTATTTGATAAGTGGTTGATTGGTATAGTATTTGATATTGCTTTGTGGTCAGTATGACCACCTTCCAACACAATCATTCCTTCATTAAGAATGAAATCATCAGTAAAAATGTCCTCAGAAGAATGTAAAATATCAAATGTTTCATGTCATAAACATTCAACAACACATGGTATTATTCATAGTATCATACAATTTCATTATATGGTGATTTTTGAACTTATAGTTTATTACATGTAGATAAATATACATGTGTAAATAAAGATTGAAAATGCAAATGTTTGTAGTTAAATGCTTGTTAAATCGATTTCATAAAGTTACAATCCAACTGCATTAATGCAATCTGAATTGATCATTAGGTCAGACATAGTGGATGTTAATCTCCACTGTGTGTTACTTCATGTTAAAATATATAATATGAAAAGTCAACAAACTGTTTCCTGTTGCCGAAATTAAAGATAGATATATGCCAAGAAAAACAAATTTGAAACCCTACCAAAGGTGCCAATCTATTTAAGTGTGGGGTTACAACACCAAAATCTTCAAGGTTTTGAGAAGCTGGGAAGATTATGCATTCCTTTTGGCTTAAAATGTATATCCCCATGAAAAGACACGCATACACAAAGGCATAATGCTAATGAAAGGTGCATTAGTTAAACAAAAAGAGAAAACTCTTCTAATGGGAATGAGTATCAGCAAAGTCAACCCTACATCTTTACGCAAATGAAAGGTAAGACATCACCATTTGGCTATCACAAGAAACAAGAAAAGGCCATGTCCCTATTTTCTTTTAAACCCAAACAGTCCAAGAATTACGGCTATGAATCAAACATAAACACCAGATAAAATGTGTGCATACTGAAATCAGTCACAAACCTCAAAGTATAGGGTTTCAAACAACACATATCAAAACTTCGAAAATGTCAAATTGCCAAAGTCGTTCCCTAACATATTCGCAACTCGTTTCTTCTATGCATGTTTGCGTTCACTAGATAAACGTTCAAGATAGTCGAACACAGAAACTCAAACATTTCCCTCTCGTATATACATTTGAGTACTCGCGACAAGTAACGAGGATGAGAATTGAAAAATGGAATGACGTTTTTACTCGAAGAACTGACCTGATTGGAGTGAGTACAACGTCGAATCCGACTACGATTTCAACGACGTCAATTGATTTTTAACTGGTGTCTGATTTTGGGGGTATCAATCTTTTGGTATAGAATGAGGGAGAAGAGAGCCGGCATTTTATTGGCGGGATATTTGCGTAGATACCCTTCTATGTTTATGTATTTTCATATTTTTACCCGGTATTAGTAAGCTATTCAGAAATATCCTCGGTTCAAAATAAATTATTACCATATTTTCTTTAGGATTTAAATGTTTGTTTAGATGGTAATATTTTTCTATTTTGTACATTGGTTTTTCTTATGGTTGTTAAAATTAGGATCTTACAATTATAAGTTACAAACAAGAAATGATCATTATCATATTAGGATCACATTTCTTTGATTTTTAGTATATATAGTTGAGTCTTAAAATTCTGTCAATTCAACTTGAATCGATTATCGTATGTTGTAAGAAGTCTGATGGATCATTACCATTTCATTCATTTATCTCGAATTAGGTAGAGCATCATGACATTCATATTATTCCCTTTATTATATTATGCTTTCAGTTGTATATACTCACAATGATCTTGTTTCATTTTCTATTTAAGATGTTTTCTTCATAATTTTTGCAATTTGCAACATTATTGTTTGTGATTAAAAAGTTAAAGTTGATTCTATCATTAACAACAAGTTTAATGTGTATTATACAAACAAGACTTTGCAATCAATTTTACATACTAGTTCATTTTGATAAGATCTTATGATCTTACGATCATGATCATGTAAAATGTAAAACGATATTAAATACGATCATGATATTGACAACATTGATTTTTTCAGCTTGGCTATAATAATATGCAATGATTTTTTCTTTCTCACTTGAAAGACATATATTATACCAACTAAGTTATAACCCGTGGAAACCACGGTTGATATGATTAAAATTTATATATAGAAAAAAATAACTGCAAAAAAAAATCACAACGTATTGTCATGCAAAAAAAATCACAACTAAGTATTTACATGATTTTATTAAAAAACATATTTATTAAGTATTTATAGTCGTGGAGTAGAAAACCTATCGAACCATAAAATTATTTATTTATTGAAAATGCTAATTAATTAAATAACACTTTAAGTAATTTAGTTATTTTATAATGGTGATTTTTTTTAATTTCAAATTTTATAGATTGAAAAAATGTGCATGTTAATGTTAAGAAAAATTTTTGATTGGTTTTATAATTAAAAAAAATACATTTGTTCCTAGGCATAATAAAATTTAATTGAAAAAATGTATAGGTTAATTCATAATCAATTATTACCCACTGCGTACAGGGCGGAGCCAAAAAAATTTTTAGGGTGTTCCTTATAAAATATTTGAAATATATATATATATATATATATATATATATATATATATATATATATATATATATATATAAGACCGGTCC